GTCGATTATAGAAAGTTTTATTCACCAAGTTTTACTTGTACTTCTTCTCCAAGCTAAATCCTCATCTTGTATCCTTATATAGGGATTTCATTATTTATGATAAGATACACCGATTCCTCTCTTCTCTTGTCTTATCATCTTTACTCAAAACACGTTATTAGCACAACACTTTGGTGATCTTGAGTTATGCTTGGCAGACAGTGCAATGAGTCACATAATTCTAAAAATAAGAAATATTTCTCTCATTTGATAAATAGAAAAGCAAGTGTGAGCACTATAATAAGAAGTGCAAAGATAATTGAAGGCTCTGGAAGAGCAAGTGTAGTAATGTCTGTGGAACACAACTCAAAATTGTTGATGCATTGTACTCCTCTAAATCGCAAAGAAACTTATTGAATTTAAAGATATTTGCAGAAATAAATATCATATTGTAACCATGAATGACAGAAATATTAATTTTCTTCATAAAACAAGTATTTTTTTATGGTTCTAAAAAATAGTAAAAAGATTACTTGCATTGTTGTTTAAAAAACAAAATTATCAGCATTCTCCACAAGATTGCATTACACTAAAATTAATATAATTGAAGCAAGTGCTATAACAAACTAAAAGTTTACTGAAAATATTACTGTTTTTTTTTTGCTAAAAAAGATATTAGTGTTTGGTATGACCGGTAACAAGTTCACTTTGGGCGATTATACCATGGCGTAATTAGGCTTAAATGGGTTGCATGAATGTATTGGGTTCATGTTTGATTTCAATTTGTAAAAATCTTGGCCCATAGCGTTTTACAAATACAAAGGTTGATTAAAAAAATCTGTTACATTTTCGGCAGAGTTTTAATCGCATACACCACATCATTTTGTAGAAAAAATAATTTGAATCAGCGAAACAAACAAAGAGATATTCTCTCCAACAACTACATTTTCAAAACCCATAACACATAGAAAAACCGATTACACCTTAAGAGATATATGTCGTAATCGGAAGCTAGACCCGTCTGCCTTAACTGCAGAAGAAGATGACGACGCCGGAGAAAAAGCCAAACGACTATCAAAGAATAGGTACGACGCCGGAGACAAAGCCAAACGACTATCAAAGAATAGTTACGTCGCCGGAGACAAAGCCGAATGACCACCGAAGAATAGGTGCGTCGCCGGAGACAAAGTCGAACGACCACCGAAAATAGATACGTCGCCGGAAACTAAAACGAACCACATCGGAAACAGTAAACATCGGAAAAAAGAAACATCGGAAAAAAGGAACATCGAAACACAAAGATCCGACTGACGTCGCTGCTAAAGAAGCCTGCTGTCGTCGGTCAGATAATTCACTTCGAAAGCGGCAAGTGCTATAATAAACCAAAAGTTTACTAAAAGTATTACTGTTTGGCATGACTGGTTAACAAGTTCACTTAGGGCGATTATACCATGGCGTTCTTTGTTTCATTTTATGTTTTTTTTCTGCATAATTAGGCTTAAATGGGTTGCATGAACGTATTGGGTTCATGTTTGATTTCAATTTGTAACAATCTTGGCCCATAGCGTTTTACAAGTACAAAGGTTGATTAAAAAAAAGCGGTTACATTTTCGGTAGAGTTTTAATCTCATACACCATATCATTTGTAGAAAAAATAATTTGAATCAGCGAAACAAACAAAGAGATATTCTCTCCAACAACTCTGTTTCCATAAACCGAAATTCTAGGGTTCTGATTTCCAATGAACTCCCCCTCCTCCCACTTCATTCACAAATTTCGTCACTCTTCTAACCGACAAGACATGGCCACCAACGAGGAAGAAGAATCCCCGACGGAGCTAAACACCATCAACAGCTCCGCCGGTTTCCTAATCGTCTCTCCCGATAAACTCTCCATCAAGTACACAGGCCTTGGGCAGCACGGTCACGACGTCGGCGTCGTTCAATCTAATAAACCTGCTCCCTTCAAGCGCCACGCTTACTACTTCGAGATTTACGTCAAAGATGCTGGCGTTAAAGGAAGGGTCGCGATTGGTTTCACTACTGATAACTTCAAAATCGGAAGGCATCCTGGGTACCAATACAATTGTTGTGTTTGATTAGGTTTTAGGACAATCTTTAATTGTTATTTCATGTTGTGTAATGAATGATTAGATGGGAACTTAATACTTGTGGGTATCATGGTGAAGATGGACTTATTTATCTTGGGAAAAGACAAGGTGAAACCTTTGGTCCGGCTTATACAACCGGTGATACGGTTGGTGCCGGTATAAATTACGATTCGCAGGAGTTCTTTTTCACGTAAGTAATTAATGTTTGAGATTGGAGATCAAGATCCGATTCATTTTTTGTCACACTTCTTCTGACATATCTTATCTGCTGACATGTTTGGTGGTAGTGTAAATGGAACTCTGGTAGGCACTGTTTCCAAGTATATAAAGGGGCCTCTGTTCCCTACTGTTGCCGTACATAGCCAGAACGAGGAGTATGCTTTTATTTTTTTTTCATTGTTTTTGTTTAATTGGCTCAGCTGCTTGCATATGAGGTTCATTGTTGTGCTCTTTGTTTTCGTTCTGAATATTGGCAGGGTTAGTGTTAACTTTGGTCAGGAGAAGTTTGCCTTTGATTTTAAGGTAATATCCTCAGACTTTTTCCATAGAAGTGGAGTTTCTTGATCTTAGCTTGAATACAACAACTATTTAATATTGTAAAAAGAGAAGGCTTGATTCTTTTCCCTATGGTACAAATATATTAATGTGGCAGCTGTATTTCTATAAATCGTGATCACACATCATCACTTAGACTCTATAATTAACATTTATATACTCTGTAAGAAAGTTGATTTATAAATACGATGATAATTTTTTTTGTGAATACCTCTCGTAGTTATATGAATGTTTCGAGGGTAGAGTTTCAGGAGAGATTAGTATGACTTAGCTGTTACTCTTCTTCTGCTGTGTAAGGGGTATGAAGCATCGGAGAGGAATAAGCAACAAATAGCAATTGAAAAGACATCTGTACCACCAAACATCAATTATAGGTTTCTTCTTTTCTTTTCTTTTCTGTTTTTAGGTTAGTAATGAACTTTCTGCACAGCTAAAGCTTCATTTTTTTTTGGTCATCAGGCTTGTAAAAAATTACTTGCTTCATTTTGGGTATGAAGAAACTTTTCATGCTTTCGACCTAGCAACTAACTGTACAGTTCCTCCTATCTACGTTCCTCAAGAAGACGGTGTTGATGTGCAAGATACAGCATATGCACTGAATGAGAGGAAGATCCTTAGACAGGTTTTGAATTATGCTTTCTGTTTATGCTTTGTCCCAATTCCTAATCAAAAGCAAACTTAATTAGTACTGCAGTTATTTGTTATTGTTGAACTGATGTATACTTTGTTTGGTTGGCAAAAGCTTATAGGGAAGGGTGAGATTGATGCTGCTTTTGCTAAACTAAGGGATTGCTATCCCCAACTTGTACAGGTGGGATTGAGAAATAAATTATATGTGTTACATTACATTTTGATTTGAACTCTTACCCCAGATGTATTATTTGCAGGATGATAAATCAGAAGTTTGCTTCCTCCTTCACTGTCAAAAGTTCATTGAGTTAGTACGGGTATGCTCTTTGTTCCTTGTATTGTATTGGCACATCAGGTCGATGGTGGTTAAACTATTTCTATTAATGCTTTGGGGAAATATTGACATACATAGATTGGCGCATTAGAAGAAGCTGTGAAATATGGAAGAGTGGAGTTAGCCAAGTTCATTGGTTTAAATGTATTCCAAGACATTGTAGAGGTATTGATGCTTCTGCGACCTTAATTATACTTGTGTGATAGATATCTGTGGGTTTCAAAGTCAGAGATTCGTGTCTATTGTTTCTCCTATTTTTTAGGATTGCTTTGCTCTTCTTGTCTACAAATGTCCCGAAGAATCAAATGTGGGGTATTTCCTTGAAGCATCTCAAAGGGAAGTAGTGGCAGACGCCGTGAATGCAGCGATTTTATCTACAAATCCAAAACACAAAGATCGGTTGTATTCTCATCTGGAGGCGCTTCTCCGACAGCTAATGGCTTGCTGTCTGGAACTGCGGTTATTGAATGATGGTCAGGGAGAATCATTGTCGCTTAACCGGCTTCTTAAGAACAACAGTTGCAAAAGGATAAAGAAAACTGGCTAGCTTTAGACGTCTATGTTCGGGAACATATTTGTTTTTGCTTGGTGGCGTTTGAACCGTGTTTCTTACCAATATTATTTAGATGGTTAGGAGTAGTTCAAATTGATTACAACTAAATTATGTGAAAGGGTGTCAGGAGTTGCTTAGACGAACTCAAGTGGATGTCCCCAGTGACATAAATGAACGTATTGTTATATGAAAGTAAAATGTTATTGTTATGCATGTGGTGATAATTAGCAATTTCACTGTCATGAATTATGTACATATTAAATTGACGTTGTTGCTGTCCTTGTTGGATCAAAAAAATATTACACTAAGTGTCGGCCTAAGATAAAACGTAAACCAATTATTACAATGACATGAGACTCTCAATGTGATTTGGTACAACACTTAAGCCTTCCATAAGATCGGATCCAAGTACACGAAGTCGCTTCAGATCGTCAATTGCAATTCCTGGAAACTCAATTTCTCTTGAACTGTTTTTCTTCGGATTATATAATATATAACTCTAAACCCACTCCATCCTTCAGAACTTAGGTGAATAACGTCCGTGCGACGTCTATAAATAGAGAATGGTGAATAAAAGTAGATAAACTCGCCCGCGTCAGTAACACCCTTCAACTTCATATCCCTTAAAGGCCAAAATGTGTAACGAAGATAAGGTGTAGGAAAGTGTTTGTATACCCACTGGTGATTCTCTGCATCCTCCAAGATCCACAATTAAATACGAGAGTGGCCATTGGAGCTTACCATCAAAGCTAGTCTTCCCTCATAAGATACGAAAAAAGAACCATCGCTGGACGGGTATTTTATCAAACGGAACTTTTCAGACCTGAGATCAAAGCTCATTAAGAAAGACCAAAACAACATTCATAGTATATGACTCCATTAATGCATATCACACAATCTGTCATACGCCGATAATGACTTGGGAAACCTTGGGATAGTATTCTCCATGATTCTTGCGATCCCAATGTAAGAATCCCAATCTTGTCTCCTGTAAGATGGCACAATGCTTTGTATTTACAGTCAATAGGATCATATCCCAAAGATCCTGTGATGTATTTTCCCTCGCTGCCTTCAGGTTCAGGTAAAGTGAAGAAGCGTTTCATGGTTGGGTTCCAAATCATGAGCTGCGTAGAAGTTTCCAAGTAAATCAAGCCGTGGACGGAATCATAGCGCTTAAGGAAACCATCAGAGGGGATTGTAAACTGATAACTCTCTGCTTGAGGAGAGGAGAAAACAAACAGCTTGTCGCGTTTACTGAAGATTAGCAAAGCACAAGCCTGTGATGATGCAGATGACCTAGCAGCGAATGAGTTGATGAAACCTGGAGTGGTGGTGATAGAAGACCATAGCTTAGAGACAGAGCGAGACCTCCCTATCAATTTTGCTGGTTGTCTTGAGAGTATCTCGCCCATTAGGTCGATGGGAATGTCCTCTATGGATAGAGATCTATCATTATCATCATCATCATGTGTTGATCCATGGATTTTCTTTTGCTCCATACTCTTTTTTGGTAAAACCCTAGTCTATTCTTCCGTCTGCGCTAAATCTTTCAATAGACGAATTGAAAACGGGTTTCTAATCTTTGGGAGAAGAAAACTTGACAAGCAAAAATTTACAAAAATAAAATAAATAATAATAATTAAAAAATTGATCTTGAAACTCCACATACAAACTCCGCATAAAATTTGATAAAAAAAAAAATTCCATGTAAAAGAAAATGAAAAAAAAATTACCTAGATCCCTAAATTTTCTCACATTATCAACTCCACGTATAATTCTATAACTGATTTTCTATTTACCTTTATCTAGTTTTTACTTTCTTCTTCATTTTTTTTCTTCTGATAAAAAAAAACTCTTGAGTACTCCTTATTTTAAATATTTCTAAATGTTTCCTCTTAGTTTAGATTCAGTTTTTTTTATTCTCAATTAATAATTTCTTAATTATTCATTTCAGGTAAAGCGGCATGATTGTGTTTATGTTTTGAAAGTTTATTTTTTCAATAAAAGAATGAAAATTGAAAGCTAAAGCTCTTTAAGGTAACCATAAGCATCTCAACTCTATCATCTGAAGGTGCAAAGATGAGGTGGGCATTCTGATAAAGATGTAAGTGTAACAACGAATGGAACAGAGTTATAAAAGAAAGTGTACATGCGTATGAACAAGATAAAGACTTGAAGAATGGCTTGACGATCAAGTTGGAATTAATGCAACGACGACTTGAAGAGCAAGCATGGAGAGATTCACCTTGGAAAATAGAGATCTCATGATGAGAAGTTTACAAAGACTTAGTATGGATTTTAGGAAACTTATCATATTTGGATATTTAGCGAATATTGGGTAGATAGGCTAAGATAGTCGACTTGACTATAATGTATGTATAGTCTTCTACGACCTAGATATTAGAGTTGTCGCTATAATTGTATTCTTAGCATAGGAGTGGGTTTCATAAGCTTGTAAGCAAGTTAAATTACTAAGGTCTAAGAGAGGAGGTTCTAGAGATCTTGTATTAGATCTTAGAACGTGTGAGGTTTGGGATTCTGTTTAAAGAGAGACTTGTAAGTTCGCTTTAAAAGAATAGTAGCAAATACACATATCATTGCAAAGATATTATCTGGTGTACTTTGTGCTTTCCATATATGCCATAGTTCTTGCATTTACAGTTGGTATCAGAGCATTCACCTGCTCGTTTACATAACATGTGAGATCCTACAGAAGTAATGGAGAACTATCATGAACTGGTGTCAAGTGCAAGGGTGATCTTGGATGCGTCCAACTATGGGATATGGAAGGCTAGAATGAGATCCATCATTTGTGGAATTGATGTTATGGTGTGGAAGTATGTTACATCTGGATGGGTCGAACCGAAGATCAAGGATAAAGATGGAGTGGAGTCCAACAAACCTGAAGATGACTAGACCGAAGCAGAGTTGAAATCAGCCAAATTCAACTCAAGAGTGTTGTCTGCCATTCACGCGAGTGTCACCATGACACACTTTGAACTGATTCAAGGTTGTGAGACAGCAAAAGAAGCATGGGAAATCCTAGAGACCCACTTTGAAGGACCGCAAAGGTGAAAAGTTCACGGATGCACTATCCGGCCTCCTATAAGCAATTCATACCCATGCCTGACACCATTATGTATATATATTATCAATAAAAATTAATAGCATTTATATTCATAGTCAATAACTATGTTTATAATAAATAAATAATTATTTGTGAAATTACTGTATCTAAATTTTCTGAATAGATAAGATCTAAATATATAACGTCATTACCTTCGATCTATTCTATTAAATTAGAAACATGCTCAGTCGATAGAGGTTTAGTCCAACTAATTATTTGCAATGATCTATACTTCAAAAAATATTAACTGCATCAAGTTATATATTGTGGGTGTAACCACCACTTCAGCATAATAATTGGGATCTATTTTTCTGTTTATATATCTATATTATTAAAACTGAAGTACATTTTAGAGTTGTTTGGAAACAAAGATAGCAGCATAGATGAAAATGTTTGGAAACATGGATATTAGTATAAGAAAGAAGTATATTGTCATTTTAGCAATTTTTCTTAAAAATATACAATCAAACAGTTTTATATATAGTCAGCATTAATGATTTTCAAATGACAATATATCTTAACAAAACATTTTAAAGTAAGATATTAATTAATTTTACATGTAACAAATTATACATATATAAATTAAGACAAATAATATAATATGAAATAATGTAAAATTATTTTTAACATTTCATAAATATTAAAACATATCAATTTCTCTCTCCAAAAATAAGTAGTCCATTTATAATATATATAACTACTATTTTAAAACTGTAAATATAAATTTATATGAATAGTATAAAATTGACATAAAAATAAATAAAACTTTAAATAATTAATTAAATTACTAATAATTTTATACATTCAATATAAAACAACCATTAATACTGATAAAATAGTATATAATAAGAAACAAAAAAAGTTCAATATAAATAATAATCTAACACTAATATAACAATATTTATGTTTTTTAAAAGTTAGACAAATACCTGCACGGGTGTGCGGGTCAAAATCTAGTAAATGCCTTATTTAATAAAAAAAACTAAAATTAAATAAAGATTAAAAAGTACGTGATAGAATCAAAATCGTCAATTAATAATTACTTCAATCAACATATTTTTAAAATTCATCTAAATTCCCTAGAAAAAACATCTAAATATATAATGTAACCATATTCTATTTGGTACCTAACTATATGACCAATATCTAATTTAAATTATGAGTATATTATAATGTGTATTTGATATTATTATGGAGGTATTATTTATTTTAATATATTCTATGGGTTTTAGTTTAATGGGTTTTAAATAAGTTATTTAATTAAAAATAATAAATTTGATTTTAATTAAAGTAAGTGAAAACGATACATACACACACACACATATATATATATTATATTTAACATAATGTATTAAAAAAAAATTAGACATTTTTCAAGAACTTTGATCAATTTTTGGTGTGGGTTGGATTTTTTGATATAAGAGTTTAATAACCGTTTGAGCATATTGGCCAGATCTAATAGAGTATGAGACTTTGATTTTTTGTTCAATTTTGAGTCGATTCCGAGTCGGTTTTTTGGTACAAATATTCTAAATATATAATGTAACCATATTCTTTTTGGTACCTAATTATATATATGACCAATATCTAATTTAAATTATGAGTATATTTTAATGTGTATTTGATATTATTATGAACATATTATCTGTCCTAGAGCTTTTAATACACGAATTGAAAATAAATTTCTATTTTTTGGGACAAAGAAAAGGGGAAAATATGTTAAAAAGAAACCAAATGACCAAGCCTAAAAAGATAACTGTCACATTCTAAAGATATATATATATATATTTATATATATATATATATATATATATATTTAAACAAAATATGTTATATATCGATGCTGATTTTTTTATCTGTAACTATATTTAGTTTAATTATTTGAAGGGCATCATATAATAAAGCAGGACTGCATAAAGGATTTTTGACTGTCTTAGAGAACTGAAATTTAATGTTATATATAGAATTTACCTTTATGATAATATATGAGTATCATATTTAAAATCTGTACTTATTTTTTATTAAATTACTTTAAGAAAATATATGATTTAGTAGTAATTAGTATTGTTCAAAATAGTGTCAAAAATAATATTTATAACAGAAATTTAATATGTTACAACTAAGTGATACCAATTATCCTTGTTATCATAATATTTCACTTGAGAAACTATCCTTTGAGTGTTTTTTGTTGCTTCATAAAAACTTTGTCATAGAAAAATTTATTGGGATAAAAACCATAATAAGAAAAAAAAAGTATAGCTACACATCTATATATATTAAGAAGAACATACTTTATTCTCATGAAACCACCTCATCAGTATCTAGAACTGTGAAACATATCATTTTTTAGTTGCAAAATCAAAGTTTAACTAAACTCTTATGTTTCTTTGTTTCGTGGGCCATTATTCTAAATTAATGTCTAACCCATCTTTTTTTCAGAGTTTCACACAGTTACCAACATAAAAGAAAACTTATCTCTTGACATGAAGCGGTGGTCGGATAAATTTGTAATAATATTTTGACAACGTGATGACTCTGTGATAAATAAAATACGAGCTTCATGTTTGTTGTTGTATCATAGTTCATCCTATGTTACCAAAAGATCAGTAGTTATGTGTATAACACCATATTTAATCCCACTCCATAATATATAATATAACTTGAGTTTGAAAATATCTTTTTCGCATTCAGTATCTACATTACAATACTCATTTTCAACACTAAAATATGTTAACACTTTTAAAAAATAAAATAGTTTATTTGTTGAAAATATCCCTTTGGCATTCATTATTTAGACTGTAATACTCTTTTTAAACTTTCAATATATTACAGTTTTGAAATAAGGAAATATCTTTTTGTACATTGCAAAATTTTCAAGAATAGTATATTCTATATTTTGAGGAAAAAAATTAGAAAGTATATCATACGCAATGAAAATTAAGTGTAGAAAGATAATAATAAATAAACATAAAGAAGAAGATTATAATAAAACAAAATAGAATACAATCAGAAGCTAAAAGGTAACTTTTATATGTTTGAGGCGGATGTGGACAACTAAGATAGGAGTGCTTAACAAAGTGGTTGGTTAAGAGGTGATCAGATTTATCATTCCCCTTGACAAACTTCTTAAAAGGTGAAAAAATAATACTATCATGTGGGTATTTATTAACATTTTAATTTTGCAACAAAAAAAATTCAAAAGATATGCTGTAAAAAGCATGCTAAAAATATAACAAGCCTCATTTCAAAAATATCACTATTACTCAAAATAGATAATATGTAAAAATATATAGTTGTTATTTGTAGAATTTGAAATATATGTATAATTGTAATATTTTGTATTATAATTCTAAGCTTTTCCTGTTATAAAAAATATCAAATCTTACATATTTATAATAAATATTACTTTCAATTTAGAGTAAACTAATCATTTTAAAATATTCAATAAAATTGATAATATATTATGTAATTTTTTCAATTACTAACCCGCCCGTAAGGCAGGCCAAACCATAGTATCATATATTTCTCCAGTTTGTAAGCAGCATGTTCCTAATATGCATTGAATTGTGTATATTTTTTTTTGTTAACTAAGCATAACGTCAGAGGCGTGCTCACTATGTATTCAAAAAGGAATTCGTCATAGGCCCCAAAATGTTTATATATTTTAGGGGTTGCTTCTTTACTAAAAATCAAACATTTTATAATGATTTTAGTGTGTTTTATAGGCTTTTGACCTGAATTCGCTTCTTAAGTTGGGTGTTGTTTTATGAAATTGTTTCCTCATTATATATAAAGATCCCTAATTCTAAAAGTTGCTTTGCGTTGTTACGAACCATCGCACGATACTGCATAACGTTAGGAATAAATTTGTCTGCATATATATGTTCAGCGGACTACTGGTTCATAACCATGTTGAAATAGACGATAATTTTTAGTGTATTTAGATATTTTGTCAAGTGTTGACTTTTCAGTGGCGACTGGAAAAATTAAGATCGAGTTTAGCCTATTTTTTTTTTTTGTTAGCCGCCCATCTAAAGATAAATCAAGTGGTGATCAGACGAGTCGATCCTCCTATGAGCATCTCCGTCTGGCTTGGTCTGATCTATATGGGAAAAAGTATATCCTTTTCTTCTCGCCTCTTTAGCTAATCCATCCGCTCGACCATTTCTACTTTGAGAAATATGAGAAAACCTCATATCCTCAAAGTCCTCTTGTAGTCTCTTAAACCTCTCGATCTCTGTTATGAAGGTTGGCCATTCCTCCAGATTAATAGACATGTCTACTAGGTCTGCGCAGTCTGTCTCAATCCTCACCGAGTTGATCCGCAAGTTTCTCAAACATAAGACTGCCCAGAGTAGGCCTTCCATCTCTACATGCAGAGCTGAACGGCTTCTCATGCACGCCCGTTGTCCGCCCCCACTCATAGCCCATTTGATCCTTAAGACTCCATCCTAAGCCACTGACGCTGCCATGATCGATCCATGATGCATCAATTTTGCAGGTCGGGGTTCGGGGGTTTCCAGGGGGTTCTATTGCGGTCTCCAAGGAGGGAGGTACCTCAAAGGCCTCGTCGACTCCCTCTCTCATGTTCGCTTTTCTCCAATATTCTGCCTTAAGAGATGCATGTTGGAGAGTATCCATCGGGGATACGACTTTCCCATTAAAGAGTTTGTCGTTCTTTGCCTTCCAGATGTACCAACAGATCCATGGGAAGGTGTCGAATTGTGGTCTCTGTGGAGCCACCTCTTTTCTCTTCCAAAAAAAGAAGTTTATATTTTGATATATAGATGTACTCGGGAAGACGCCCGGAATGGACAGATAGTCCGATAAAGCCCAAACCTCCAGGGCAGGGGGCACTCAAAGAGAAGGTGGTTAATTGACTCCACTAGGCCAGCACATCTAAGACAACTCCTATCGGTGCCCAAGTGTCTGTAGGTGAGCCTCTCTACTGTCGCCACACAGCCTGTTAAAACACAAAAAATCTGTAGGTTTAAGAAGGTGTCGACAGATACCAGTAGTGTGTGTCGATCGACACTGAACTTGTGACTCCAAAGTCACCTTCGTTCAACTCGTTTAGTTCCATAGTTACATATTGTTCTTCACCAATCGGTTACCTAAGCTCTGGTAGTGCTAGTCGTGATGGTAATGAATCTCCCATCTTGTTTTTGTCCTGCCTAAAGAGAAAAGAAAATTTCAAACTATTCTGAAATGCTTTCCTGAAACCATACAAATATTTTCTGAATTTTTTATAAACACTAGACAGCTTCACAAGCACAAAAAACAAGAGACTAATAAGCAAATTCAAGAGCCCATCAAAGATATCAACATGCCTAAACAGATCAAGACACCAAGGAAAACAATTTCAAAATTTTTGAGTTTCTGGAAGGCTTTCATGAAACTAGACAAATTCTTACTGAAAACTTTATAAACAATAAACAGTTTCACAAGTACAAGCAAAAAGAGACTCATAAGCAAATTCAAGATCTTATCAAAGATATTAACATGCCTAAGCAGAACAAGGTACCAAGCAAAAAAAGTTTCAAAATTTCAAACTATTCTTGAAGGCTTTCCTGAAACTACACAAACGCTTCCTGAATTTTTTATAAACACTAGACGGCTTCACAAGCACGAGCAGCAAGATACTAATAAGAAATTTCAAGAGCCTACCAAAAGATATCAACATGCCTAATCAGAAAAAGACACCAAGGAAAAAAAGTTTCAAAATTTTTCGAGTTTTTTGAAGGCTTTCCTGAAAATACAAAAACTCTTCGTGAAAATTTTATAAATACAAACAGTTTCACAAGCACCAGCAACAAAGGACTAACAATATCATAAGCAACATTTTGCTAAACACATTCAATAGATGCAAACACACAACAAATGAGTATGTAAAAATGCATCACAAACACAAGCACAAGCACCAAGAGACAAACTTTTATTTTCTACATTTGTTAAAAATCCAAATTTTAGGAAGTCTTTCCTAAAACAATACAAACCCTTCTTAAAGTATGAAAAAGAAAATACCTCAAAGATATAGAGCTCTGGAGATGGTTTCTGTCAGGAGAAGATTTTAGCTACAACAACTTTGTGTTTCCATAATTTTTTAAAAGCCTTTGATTTGAGCTCCAACAACTTCCAAAGACATTCGCTTTTCTGAAAAACAAAAGCAAACTTCTCAGGTTAATAGTTATTCTCTTCAGTTACAAAGAGTACCTAATTTTTCGACTAGGAAAGCTAAGCTAAACAAATCAAATTATTGAATGTTGAACAAACAACAAATGAATATGTAAAGTAGAAATTAAAATCAAAGGCCCTAATTTCAAAATCCTCAAATTTTAAATCAAAAACCCTAATTTCAAAAACTTACTTCGTGATTTGTTTCCAACGGGATTTGTGTCTGATTTTGAGAGTAAAGAGTATGACAGTGTTGGTTCAGTGTGATTTTTCTCCGGCAGCGTCTCAATGGACACCTCGATGTTGAGAGAAGAGGAACACAATTCGAGATAAGATGAACACGATTCGAGAGAGGAGGAACACGATTCGATAGACATCGAATCTTCGTCTGCTTCGTCGGAAATGAAATCAGTCTTCTTCGCCGGAGACGATAGAGACGACGATTCGTCGGTGAGTATGAGGTTTCGCGAAAGAGAAGTGGAACGCAATGTGTTTTTTTTTTTACTTATTTTATGAATTATAACACAAGGACTAGAGAGATATTTTATTGTTTAATGAATGTCATTTTTGTAATTTTCTTTTCTTAGTGCTATTTTTGAGACAAAAATTTCAGAATTGCTATTTTCATCAATTACTATTTAATAAAATACAATAAAATTAACATTTCAATTTTATTGTATTTTATTAAAACAAAAAGAAAAAAACATAGTCCGCGTTGGGTGGTATCCTAATAATCTATCAAGAGAGTACCCAAATTCTTTTAAGAAAAAGAAATAAAATTACTTAAGGGCACATGAAGTCGGCAAAGAGACTGAAAGTAAGTCATGTGCCAAAGCTTTCCCTGTAGGACCCCCAAAACACGAAACCGATGAAAGCCGCTTTTTCTTTCCGCTGACGTCATGCTAACCGCCGCATCCTTCCTCCCTACACGGTTGAGTCGCTTCGTCTTCTTCCTACTCTGTTCCCCTATCCTTCTCCCTCTTCTCTGCCTCTCGATCCCTCTCCTCTGCGCCGTCGAGATCTTCAGCCGCCTCCGCTGCCGAATCGCGAAATCGGCGGCACCTTCCTCCGTCGTAACGGAAGTTCTCGCCGCAGGCGAAGATGACTTGCGGCGATGTGAGGAAGGATGCGGCGAACTCGTAGCGGAAGAAGATGAGACTGAATGCAGTTTGCTTGAGAGATACTTGGAGGATCAGGCTAGATCCATTTACGATTGTGGAGTCGGAGATGAAGAAGATGAGGGCGGCGATCGTGATCCAATTAGGGTTCCTCTTTTGTCTTAGAAAGTTTTGTTTGTTTTCCAGAAAAGAAATGTAAATGTAGATAAAAGGAATGTATATCAATTCGATCAAGATCTCAATTGGTGATTTGCATCTATTTATCAATAGCATATCCATCATTAATTCAATCATAATTTTGATTGCTTTGTTCAACGACTGGAGAAAAAATGACGTCATTCTCTTCTATCATTCATCTTGTGTTGCTTTATATAGTTCAAAGTTATGTTTAGCACCAACTTTTTATATTTCAGAGGGCCTTGTTGTTACGAGTTAAATTGGTGTTATAAAAATCGGTTTATACTGCGCTTTATACGTCTAAACGAAATGTTTTTTTTTTCCTTAAAATCGATTTTAAAGTCCATAATTAACACCTATATGGATTCTTTGTAACATTGATTTTTTCTACTCTGTTTAATAAGATGTTGAGCAACAAGCGATTACAGCAATCAAACTCTTTTCTTAACAATCTGCACTGAAGACTTAATTCCTGACCAACAAAAAAGCTGTATCCTTTAAAAGCCATCAACTACTCAAAACATCCTCCTCCTTAGAAGCAAATTAAAAAGATACTAAAGCAAAATACAAAGCTAAAACAAACGAATTTTAACAAACAAGACACACAGTTGACAAAAAAAAAAAAAAACAAACAAGACACACAAGCATAAAAGTCGGCGACATAGAGAAAAAACACAACCAACAATCATTTGATCAAGTTCTAAGCTAAGAAACACTTGAAGACAGGTGCAACTTTTGTTACTCACACGGCAAAGGCTTAACCTTGAACCTGTAAATAAGAATTTTCTTGTTGGAAGTTGGGTTATCCACGGTTAGTAAAATCTTGCCAACTTCTCCAACTTTGAAGCTTTGAGACACTACAGGTTCATCTTGTGAAGCCATCTTCCTCGGTTTCTGAATTATCACTGTGTATCCTTCTTTGTTCTCCGGCACAAACTCTGCTCCATACATAACCTCCCATCCCACTACTCTTATCTCCCACACGATCGTGCATTTCTGCAGACAAAACAATTCGAAACACAATTGTAACAAATCATATGCATAAGTGTAACCATTTGTATAAACTGTCCATAGAAAAAGTGTCTCACCTCGTAAATAATAATCTCTACGGTTTGTTTGGTTGTTGGTTTAACGGTAATCTCAGTAGCGATATCCTCATGAGTGAAATCCGAGTTGCAGTCGCAATTATCCACACTTAGTCCACCGTACTGAACCGGCACATGTTCTGGTGATATGTACCTAATAAACCAAAAGACTTAGACCGCGACTTACATTAACAATAGTTATAGAAACAATGTCAAGAAAAGGCTCAAAGATTTATGTAATTACTTGAAAAGGGTTTCTGCAGATCTTGAAGGACCTGAGAAAACGAGTTTGCTCTTTGACCTTTGGGTCATGAAAGGGCTGATAATCCTATAGAACCCAAGGTACCACCATGGAACGTTGATGAATATCTGATCACAACAACATTCTACAATATATCAGATCTGAGCATTTACATACAAACATTATTGTGACTCCAAACAAAAGATTTATACCTGTTTAGAGATAAACTCAGGGTAATTGTCTTGAAGAAGATGAAGAGCTTGCTTAGTAGCTAGCCTGAGCTCGGTTTTACCAGGTCCTGGAGAGTTTTTCAGATCGTTTACTTGACAGATCGTGGAAACACCACCAGCGACAAAATCTAGCTTCCTTATACTCTTCTCAAGAAACTGAATCCTCCATCTCAAGAACCGTTCTCTCTTCTCCTCGTCCGAAAACGTCTTCTGATAAAGATCCTTGTTCTGAAACTCACCGTAGACATTGAAACAAACCGGATGTTTCTCCCTGTCTTGTCCCTGCATGAACACAACTTTGTCTAAATCGTCTCCGAGGTTTTCGTCGAGAAGCTCCTCGATGTTGAATTCCATTCTCCATTGGAGTGTCTTGGTGAGCATTGAGTAAGCTTCTTGCGGTTTGAAATCTCTCGCTCTCAAGAATTTCAGCAGCACGACGTCGCTTCGGTTGTCTTTGAGAAGTGGCACACCCCATATGAAGGTTTTGCTTGAATCTATGGTGGTTGATTCTTGCAAGAGGTGACGGAGCTCATGAAGAGCGTTTAACTCGTGTTCTGAGAGGTCTGAGGTTCTGTTTGTTTCTTCCTTGAATGAGCCGAGGCTTTGAGGAATCTGAATCTTTGGTTTCTCTTCAGCTTCTTCTCTGTTCATCATCTCCGCCAACGATCTAGTTTTCAAGGAAGAAGCAGGTGGTTGAGTGTTTTGAGGCTCTGGTTGCTTTGGCTCAGGCACAGACGCTGCAGCTTCTAACACCGCCGCGTCTGGTGGTTCGGGCTCTGTCCAGTCTGCTACCTCCGTGTACTTTTTACGCTGCTCTAACATCAGTTTCTGCGTTGGTTCTGTCTCCGGTGTCAGCTTCTCTGAATCATCCTCCACCTTATGGTTAGGCTCTTCTGGCTCCGATGTCACAGCCTCCGGAGTCACTTGACAAGGCTGCTCTGTATCCTCCGCAGCATCTTTGGGACTTTCTGGCTCCGAAGTCGTTTTCTCCGCCGTTAGTTGATGTGGAACTGAATCTTCGGCCGCATGGTTGGGATCTTCTTGCTCCAAAGTCACTGTCTCCGGAGTCATTTGGTGAGGCTGCTCTGTAACCTCCGCCGCGTGGTTGGTTTCCTCCGGCTCCGAAACTAAAGGCAACGACGAATCTTGCTCAGACTCTGGAAGCACCGGAGGCGGCTGAATTAACTCAGGCTCTAAGGTTAGTTGCTTTGGCTTTTCTTCTTCATTCTTAAAGTCTTGGTGCATCAGAGAAGAGGAAGGATTCGGCATTGAGTTCACGGCGGTTGAAGATGGCGGCGGAGTAGTAGTAGTAGTCGCAGAATCTTGAAGCATTTTTAAAATTTTATAAAGACAGAAAAGAAAGAAAGGGACGGAGACAAAGAGATATATTCAATGTTAGCGGGTTTTTCAGGTAGACAATGGTCAAAGAAGGTATCCAATGCGTCTCAAAATTACAACTCAAAAAGCTGTTACAATAAAGTAAAAGATGTCTTTATCCTTTTTTAAGAAATCAATAATGTAACCACCACTAGTACACTGTACATCTAAATTATTAAACTTTTTGAAACCACCAAAATAAATGGTTTTTTTACACCAAGAAACTAAAATATTTTATTAAATTATGGTCAAGTAGACTAGTAAGAGGTTTCAACAAAATATAATAGTGTGTTAAAAATACAAAATATTAACACACTAATTTCATTTCCGGAAATTATATTTACTAAATAAAAGTTATCTCATATATATTAATTGAAAAGCATTATAACATGTTTTGGTAGCCAAGTGTCAAAATGCTTCTCAAATTTATTAGAAAAAATTTTGGTCCATATAAACATATAATATAATTTTTATCAAACTAAACATAAAACTATTATTAATACTATTCATTATTTCCTTAAATAAAATTTACGGAATTACCTAATATGATTATAATATATATATATGACAATTACTAATTCGAATATGGAGATTTGATAAAACAATTTATAGCCTCTACTATTTTTGTTAAACTTATATTATGAAAATAAATTAAAAAAGAACATTAACTATATAACAAAAAAAAATTAGATTTTTTGATATATGTTATATTTGGATTTTTTTGATATATGTTATATGTTAAAAATTTCACATATAATATTTTTATTAGTATTTTAAATCCCCTATATATTAAACATGGATCATTACAATATTTTTTGGTAGCTATGTGTCATAATGAGAATGATTTTCATAACCCTTAGAGAAATATGTTGGTCCAACTAAACATATTTTATATTTTTATTATACTAACTATCATATTTAATTAGTAGTGTACAAAAGAATATTCTATTTTTCCTCACATAAAAGTTACTGAATTACCTAATATGATTAACATATATCACAATTAATGTTTATCAATAATAAAGATTAAATAACAATTTTTTATCCTCTTTACTTTTTATTTAATTTTATATTATTAAAAATCACATTAATCATATAATAAAATAATTAGATTTTGTTATATGTTATATTTTAATTTTTTTTAAACGATCATAAATTACTAAAACTAGTAAAAATCTCACCTTGAAAATTTTGTGATCAATGATAACATTTTTTAGTTTAGCCAATCGTTTTTATTATGAGTCTTAAACAGTTTATAATGATTAACTAAATGGATCGCGCATAACAGAGTGTGTTTTGTTTAAAAATTATTGCATACCTAAAATCAATATGAGTCATCATCCCTTTCATTTAAATTTTTCTTACAGTAAAAAATATATGGTTGGGCAAAAAAACTGAATCCAGATAACCGAACCAAATCTAATCCAAAAAGTAGTACAAATTTTTAACCAAAATTGGTTAGATATCCAAACGGATTTGAAATTTTGGTATCTAGAGAACAAAAAATGAATCCAAATATCTCGGTATCCGAGTATACTCGAACCAGATTTATATACTTAAATATATTAATTATTTTTAAAATTAATATCTAAGCATATACAAATTACATGAGTTTTTGAAATTTTCTAAAATACTTATAAATATATAAAATAATTAAATGTACATTTTCAAAAATAGCTAAACGGTACTCCAAATACCAAAAATATTTGAAATATTTATTGATTTTTTTCCAAATATTTAAGATAAGCCAATTTTATGTTAAGTTTAAGTATTTTGGCATTCATTTTTCAAATTTATATGTTATATATTATTTTTACTTTTAGATTTTGAAAAAATTCAAGTATATATGAATTTTAATCTTAAAAAAAAAAAGGGTTATCTGAACCTAAACTCAATCCGAACCTGCAAAGATTCGAACCAAACTGCAAAGATCTAAACCAAACATAATCTAACCGAACCAAATGGTTGCCAAATGTCCATCCCTAATCAAATGTAACAAAAAAGATTGATAGCAAAATATGAATTTAAATACAACATATTTTCAAAAAGCCCAACCCGCGCATAGCACACATTATCATATAATCTTCTATGATTACCCATCACAAACGAGATAGTAATGTTCAATTTATGTAAAATAGGTTGCAAATTACATTCATCATGCTGTCAAACATTTATTTCTGTCTAAATAGTAAATACTATTAAATTGTTACGTTAAAATTATATGCTAGTTAAAATTATATGATATTAAAAAAAATATTTTCGTGATTACCTAATAAGTCTGAATTTATAAATTTTCATTTGATAATATAATATATATAGGGAAAATAGGAATAACAAAATTTTAAAAATAAAAATGGAGTTCACATGAGATATTCAAATAGCGAGCAAACAGAAAACAATTTATGGACATAAACGCAAAGCCGATACTAGACTTTTCAAGATAACAAGCCCAATCTTAAAAATGACTGAAATGTTTTTCAAAAAGAAAAATGCACATGATGGAATTCGAACCCAACCTCTCGCATATTCACAGCAAACAACAAATCACTAGACCACTAACAATTTTGGTAATTATTTGACCGGTTATATACTTAATAAAGTGATGTCCATAAGCCTATGCTTCATTCGCTTCTAGCAAGGGCCGACTCTGACGCAAAAATTGGATACAATTGTGTTCCACCAAAGATATGACTCAGTCAAATTTAAATATGGTGGGAGCATATATGGCTGACTTAGATTCAGCCCAAAATTTACGTGGGATCAAATTATAAATAAATTTGTCTAATTTCACCAAAAAAAAAAAAAATCTCATGAGGTCATTGACCAGAATCAAATCCAGGTTTGTGGGTCATTGACTTTCAAGAGTAACTGTTCTGTAATTACTTACTAAACAAGTCTGACAAATAAATTTTACTGGTGTCAACTGACCTCATATCTTTACATGCGGATCTGCCTCTAATAGATAGTGTTTTGTCGATGAGACTTGGAAAGAAATGAAAAATTTACAAAAATAATGATCGTTTTATAGAAAGAAAGGTTTGACTGAAAAAAATGATAGGGTTCATGAATATCCGAGTAAGACTATCACCTCTAAATGCAGAATGTGAAGCACTATATGGCAATAAAGTGCATTACAAACCCTATAATTCAAGGAGGTAGTGTTTGCAACTGATATATTCAAGGAGGTAGTGTTTGCACTTCATTCAGCTTTTACTACACATTTGGAAGAATTTCATCGTTGTAAGGAATGTTTCACTCATTTTAACTATGATTGACAAACTTGCACGAGGTATTTGGACTCGGTCTTATATGTATATTGATTTGAATCCAACAAGTTGGCTTTTGGATTCGAGATATGTAGGGTCTGAATGGTGACTGCGGTATTGATAATATAAGCGGTGTTGAATTAAAGTACGGAACGGTCCAACTGCGGTTCGTGCGGTTTGCAGGACATGTGCAGATTTGGTTTAAAAAATAGTGTGGTTTTGATAAAAAAAAATGTAATGCGGTTTTGAAAATAATGTAAAATTAATATATTAATATGATTATAATTTTTTTTTTGTTAGTGATAATGTCATAAATATTTTATTTTTAATATAATTTTAAATATTAAAATTAAATTGAAATAAAACTACTACAGCTATAATTTATGAAGTTTTTCGGAATAATGTTAATAAATTAAATATCAATGTTTAAATGTAAATTATTGATGACAATCTTTGACAAAAAGAACATGATTATTAAAAATTCAGATTATTAAAATAATAGATGCTCTTAAATTAATTTAAAATACTATGATTAGTATGTAACAATATCACCATTCATAACTTAAAAAAAGTAATGCGATTTTAATAAAAAATATGAGTTTGATAAAAAATAATGTTAAATAATTATTTATGAAAAACATTATAAATTTGACTAAATATATCATTATTATAAAATTATTTATTTACAAAAATGACACTGATAAAATGTGTTTATTAGTAATTTGTTTCAAAAAAGTATCATACGACAAAGAGAAATTTGATTTGCACCGTTTGATAACTGTGCTAGACAAAAAGAAATGAGTTTCTAATTAGTATTCTGAAATGAATTTATTCAATGGTAAAACTAAAGACATAAAAATAAATGAATATCTTGTCATTTTTAGCATTATTCATTCCATTTAAATAATTAAAACGTTTATATATTTAAGTATGTTAATATTAATATAGGTGATGTTATTTATTTGTTTCTGATGAAAATATTAAGTTATTTGAATAGTTGATATTGAAAAATTGAATTGTTCATATAGGTTGGTATGACCAAGTACTTGATTATGGTTGTATAGCCTAGTCTAATTAACCAACAAGTTTATAATAATTTTATATATTTAACCTAATAATAAGAAAATATAATAAAATATAAAAATGCCAATGAAACGCATCAAAATGAAACTTGTGATAATTTTAAGGTTATGAATGGAGACTTAAACGCGGTGCGTATTTGTAATTATGAAACAAAAAACACACTAAGTTGCCATTCATGCATATATGCTAAAGCGGGACGTATTTTACATAAAAACGCAATTGTCAAAAATAAAAATAACTTTTTTTTTTTGTTTTTCCCCATTTTGCAAATACGTACTTGGTACAAGTAACTCTTTCTCCACGTAGTGGTACACCAAATTCTGCACTAATAAAATATAGATAAAAGCTTTCTATTAATATTTATACTTGTCAGTTATTTTCTCTAAACAAAAAATAAATACTTTATAAACTTAATAAAGCATACATTATAGGTAATAAAAAATAATAACCGAACAAAATTTATTAAATATAGGGATATATAGTCTATGTACATTTATCCAGAATCGGAGAACCAAACCGAACCAAATCTCTTTTTCAAGACTATTTGGATTTGGATCATATTAATTACCTTAACAAATATTATATATCTAGAATCCAAGAATCGAA